GTAAACCAAATCCATGAAAGTTCCTATTACAAAGATCCAAAAGACGATATTATGCGGCATTATTATCAAGATTTAAAGGATAATGTTTTGTATCCTGAAGTTAATAGAAATACTACATTAAAATTCACGTACACTGCTATGCATGGTGTTGGGCAAGAATATATGACTGCTGCGTTTGAGGCAGCAAATTTTAAGGTAGCATATGAGTATACTGAGACTATTAGAAATGCAATTTTCGAAAAACAAATACTATTGTCTTATTTTTTTCAGCCATTTATAACAGTGGAGGAACAAAAGTTACCAAATCCAGAATTTCCCACGGTGAAATTTCCGAATCCAGAGGAAGGAAAAAGCGCTCTGGATCTCAGCATAAAGACAGCAAATAAAAACGATTCATCTATAATAATTGCTAACGATCCTGATGCTGATAGACTTGCATGTGCAACGAAGATGGAGAGGTATGCGACCTCTTAATAAATTTAGATTGAACTATACTAGACAAACAATGAGAATACATCAGATAATCTTTATAGTGGGGATTGGCATGTCTTCTCTGGAAATGAACTAGGCGCCTTATTGGGTTGGTGGATGATTCACACTTATCAAGTGATACATCCCGATGTTGATTTGAGTAAAACATATATGTTAGCATCTACTGTTTCCAGCAAAATTTTAGCTTCAATGGGTAAAAAGGAAGGTTTTAATTTCGAGGTTTGTAATTTTAATATGTATATGTGCACAGCAAAAAATTAAATGAAATAATGCTTTAAATTAAGAAACGCCATAACGGTCAGAACGTTAAGATGTTGAACTATTGTAAATTCATTTAAATGAATTAATTTTAGAAATTATAATTGCGTGCCGATATGGTTGTCGGACTTTCAACGCAATCAAATCTGAAAATATTGCCGAGGCATTATTTTTCGCAATAAGTTTATTACAGTTTTTAAGTTGGGAATTTTTGGGGGGATTATTAATATTTTCAGATTTGATTGCGTTGAAAGTCCGACAACCG